CCTGGCAAGGGGCCTGAGAGCCTCCCTTGGCCCCTTGCCATGCTCCCCCCCCCTCCATGGGGCCGGGGGGGGGGTAAAATCGCCAGCTTCTGGGAGTGTTTGGAGGCTTGGGAAGCCTCAAAACACTCCCAGGACATGGCGATTTTGCCAGTGCTGGCCGGTGCGTGGGTGGGAGGAGCGTCGCAAGGATCTGAGTGAGCTCCCAGGACCCTTGCGACGTTCCCCCCACCTGGAAGCTGGCGATTTCGCCGGTGCTGGCCCCGTGGGGGGGTGGGGGAGCCTCGCAAGGGTCCTGGAAGGCTCACCCGGACCCTTGCAACGCTCCCCCCCACGGGACCAGCAGCGACGAAATTGCTGCATTCACACCATTAGACGCACTGACTTCCCCACCCACATTTTGGAGGGGGGAAAGTGCGTCTTATGGTGCAAAAAATACGGTACATTTGCTAAAAGCCTTCCATCAGCAAGGGGAACTTTAACTAATTTGCTATATGCCACTGAAATGATGACTACTTCCTTGAGTGTAATCAATTTACCATTGGACACTGAATTATAATGGTTTTACTGCTTTATTTAAAATCCTATACTTGATGCAAAAGTATGTAATTCAGGGAGTGTCTAATGTAACTGCTCTTGCTGCTGATCTTATTACAAATCCCCATTCATTAGCTGGTTTCTTAGATTTTGAGCAGCTTAATTTTGAATGCATTACTTACAGATTTGCAAGTTTGACATGGATGATTTTCAAATGACTGGGCTGTTCCACTTTCTTTGCAATCACCAGGAACTTCATTTCTGAGCTGCAGTCCCAGGCTAAAACATGGTACGAACTTGTGGGCATGATATACTGAAAATTCACTCCATTGAAAGTTGTGACACTGTCTTCGGATACTGAACAGTGACCTGAAAAGTAAACACTATCAGCAGTAATTTCTAATTTTTACAGTTAATAATTCTGACAATATAAACATTCTTATGTTTTCCACAGTCAGTTTCCAAATCTGAAAGTGTGTCAGCGCATTGTGTAGGCTGTGAAAGAGGTGACGAGACTCTCAGAGGTTGAGGGAACCCAGATTTCCTGGGTTTCATTTTTTTTATACCTCTGGTTAAACCAGACTTTGCATATAATATTGGAAGCAGGAGAACAATTCTCTTACTAACCTTTCAGATTTTCAGCAACCAAGGTTGGCAGATAAGAGACAAAATCCCAAGCACGGGATGGGACAGCTAAAGCTTCTGTATGTTGGCGCACAGGAAGTGAAACTGGGAACTTGATGTTTGTGTCATAAATTGTAACCTGGAAAAAAAGAATTACTTTAATATACCTGTGATATTTTTTGACTTCAAGGCATAGCAACAAAGGGTGGGGTTAGACTTCGTTAGAAATGTGAAGTGAGTAGAATCTAGCTACATAAAAATTTAGTAATACATGTTTAAACATGTTTTTACATGTCATGCATATCTTAAAAGAAATAGTTCTCTAGGATTAAGCTGAAATTTTGCTGTCGTGGACAGATAACATTTCTGAGCAGCTTTTAGTACGAGGTCAGGATTGCTCCCTTTCCCTGGCAAAGCAACTACCAAGGGAAGAGAAGAGATGCCACACCAGTGAGACTTTTGGCCTGCTGCTGCAATGAGTCTCAGTGAAATCGAGGGAGCTGTGAGTTTAAAGAGACCAGGCTATCGTGATGCATTGAGCTGTATCCAAACCCACTGCTCTCCTGGCAAGAGAAAAGGCACATCATGCTCTGTAGCTTGTGCCATGGAGTCGCCGCAGCCACTTTCAGGGACACGATACGCAGTGCAGCATGAACTACCCACTCCCCTCTTTTCACCCCCTGCCCCTTTAATTTTGGCTCCGCCTGAGCGTCCCACAAGCTTTCCTCTTTTCAGGTCCATAGTCCTTGACCAAGGTTTCTATATTGTTTGGAAGCAGAATAAATAGTTCCTTTACTTGCTCTTCTTATTAATCACCTGGCAGAGTTCTTTCCTATTTTGCCACATACAGTGGTGACTCGCTAGACGATGAAAACCCGCAAGACGATTAGTTTTTGTGATCACTATGGTGCCTCATAAGATGTTTGTTTTTCTATGACCGTGCTTTGCAAGATTTTTTTTTAGACCGATGCTTTGCAAGACTTTTTTTTAGACGATGCTTCGCAAGACTTTTTTTTTAGACCGATGCATAGGGAACCTCACAAGATGATTTTTTCACAAGACGACAATTTTCGCAGAACGAATTAAAATTGTCTTGCGAGGCACCATTGTATATTCTTGGAGGTCACCACTAACCTTCTTCCCGTCTACAGCATTCCTTGTAGATTTGGGAAGGAATGATCTTGATCGTAGAGCTAGTGTGACTTCATGGCTCCTGTCATGGGTAGTTTGATTTTATTTGCTGATCTGTTTGTCTATTTACTGAAGTGAGAGGAACTGCAGTTTAATAGTGCAAACAATTGGCAGTTAAGTCATTGAAATGCCCTACTGGCACAAAGGTACTTACGCCATATATGTACCATTGATAAAGAGAAATACTGCTGTTGTTGGTATAAATTAACAGTATGGTCTCCAGAGAGTAAAGCTCTCCAGTCCTTTGCCTCAACGTGCTCAAAATCATGAAGGGGGAGCAGTATGTCTTGGGCCCATCTTCACTGTCCTGCCTCACCAATCCTGCCTACACCATCCATACCTTGTGGTTGGACATGTGATCTGAGGAACCTGGCTCTCTCTTTATAGGTTCTCACTGCAATTTACAGCCTCATTATTCCAGGTTTGAAGTTAGGCACGTCAGCTCTTAAATCCCAATGTGTGAACTGTGGGGATCAAGAGCAGCGGAGGGTCTCAGGGGCAAGACTGGTAGAGACTTTCACCTCTCTCACTTCTCACCGTTCTAGGGACATAAGGGAGAACCAATGAAAAGGGCTTACATCCTCCTTGAAACCTGCATGATGGACTTTCTATGACTGACGGAAACACCATCAATTCCTGGAGGATGTGGGACCAAATGAGAAAATTCAGTTAATGTGTCATTAGAAGGAGAGCTCTCTTCTAATGCAAAATACTTTGCCTTCATTGACATTTGGCAAATTAGCCTGCTTTTGTTCTATCTTTGGTCAGCTGGAAGAAAGCATAGCTTTTTTTCTTTTCTTTTTTCCATGCTTGATGCCTCAGCCATGTAGCACTTAAAAGATCTGCCTGTCTGGACAGATAAGAGGAGGACATTTTCAACTCTGTCACTGTGAGTTCTGATAAGGAGGCACAAATCACTTTAGCTGACACAGGGTAGTGTCCTCCCCACTAACAATAATGACAACACCACAAAGAAAAATATTTACATGAGGTAACCTGAGAATAAGATCACAGGTTCTTTGAGACATGAGAGCCACCACTACAGAAGCTTCTTGTGGAGGATTCTTCTGTTCCACTTCAGACCATCCAAGCATATAGGCAGTACCTGGGATAAATGTCAAAAGCCTGGAAGAAAATTGAGGAGAAAAAGTTTATAATCATAACTGGTCAAATAATTCAGCAGACAGTTTAAGGAAAGCAAATTCAGTGGCCTATGGAATGGAAAAAGTTTTGTCCACAGCCGAATTCTTGTCACTTTCAATGAGAAACTATCAGTAGAGTCTCATCTGACAGGATAAGAGGAAGAGTTATATATTTTAATTAAATTGGTTTTGTTTGGGTTGTAAACAGACAATTATTTTGCCTCTGGCTGAACTAGCTTTCTCCTGTGTTGCTCCCCCAGTGTAGGTAGTATATAATTGAAAAATATTTTTAATGCATCTCCCTTAGAATGCAAATTGTTCCCTCCCTCTGCTTTTAGGAAGGCTGTGAAGATCCATGGTTTCAACTTGGCCTTTTCATTTGTTTTGTTTTAAATTATTTTAAATTATATTTATTACCCATTGAGAGTACTACTTTTAGTGGGGGGGAAATGAAACAAACAAACAGGGTTAAACCGCTGTACTGCAGCCAAAACTATGCTCACGACCTGGGGTTCAATCCCAGGTAGCGGCTCAAGGTTGACTCAGCCTTCTATCCTTCCGAGGTTGGTAAAATGAGTACCCAGCTTCCTGAGGGGGCAATGTATAGTCTGCATAATTAACTTGTAAACCGCTCAGAGAGTGCGGTATATAAGCAGCACGATTTGCTTTTTGCTTTGCTCAGTTTCCATGCAAAATCTGAATGCAATGTTCAATTGCTTTTTAAATCTCTTACTCCCTTGCCACATCTTCTATTTGTGGAGGAATGCTGGGCCATTCCAGTTTAATTTGCATCGCCGGATAACCAGAAAACTGTCCATATGCAATATTTCCTTCAATCTTATAGTCTTGGCAGTCTTGGCCCCATTTCAGGTAACCCTATAAAGAAGCAGATAATCGACAATGAATTATAATCATTATATGAGCTACAATATTGCAGTTATGACTGTGTCTTTTTCAAATCATTTTATTGCACTCCTTCCCTGCCTACCAAAAATAATTTTACCCAAACTATAGTTCTGGACCAGATCATTTATATTGGTAACAACAATCTTTGAAAGGCAAATACGATTTCCCATCCTTTACAGCCAAAGGACATATTGGGGAATTTCACTTATGTAACTGGACTACAGAGCATTGATGTCAGACACACATGCATTGACAAGGAAGCGTTAAGAGGTGGTCTGTGGGTGAAATAAGCTTCCTTTTCCCACTGGCCTTTTTGCATTGCACGGAATGCGTTAAGAGGTGGTCTGTGGGTGAAATAACCTCCCTTTTCCTTTTTGCATTGCACGGAAGATTTTGCTCAGCTATCTTAACTCTGTAGTGCTCCAAGAACACACATACAAAGGAGCCACAGAAAGGCAAAGCCAAGACTGTTTGGCCCTTTCTAAGTGAACTTTGGCTCACCAAGAGTGATTTGTGCATCTGGTCGTCTCACGATGACTTCCCAGAGTGGCTTCATGCACTTTGTGCCAAATAAGTTGGACTCATGGACAAATACTAAGATGGCTGATAATATTGCAAGTGCTAAAAAATTTGAAACTGACAGGAGCCTAATAAAAAGACAGCCAAGCAGAGCTCCCGCTTGAAATACTGCTGTGACAGAAACAGTAAATAATAATCATCATGTGCCGACAAGTCAATTCTGACTCACAGCAACCCCTTTCAGGGATTTCCAGGTAGACAAATACTCAGATGCAGTTTACCATGCCTTTCTTCTGGGGCACCCTGGGAATGTGTAGCTGGCCCAATGCCACACAGGCTGGCAAAGGACCCAGTGCTTGGAAGCAGAAAGTAGCCTATACAACTGAAAAGTGCTTTAGGCATAAACCCAGTTAGAGTAGAATCAATAGAATTTACAAAAATGATGAATTGCCATTTAGCAGGTCTATTCCAGTTGTGACTAATGATCAGATTTACACTGTTTTGATAAAAATCCCTGATGGAATACAAAACAAAAGAAACATCGCACTGCTTAGCAAGCACACCACATAGTTTAGGGAAGTGATGAAGGGGAAATTTTGGAGGTAGCCTTCTATAGTGTTGTGAAGAACAGAAGCCACTGGCGTGAAAGCAATTGCTTGTCCTACTTAGATAGAATTGTCAAATGGAAAAACACATTTAAATTCCATTGATTCTATGGATTTCATTCAATAATTTATGCAAAGTTAATAATTAAAAAGCCCAGGTTGCATAGCACCTTCAGCTAAATTAACACAATTTGAGCAGTATGATTAGAAACATTCCAATATCTATTTGTAATTAATGTTGCATGATTTGATTGAGAAACAAATAGCACCTGTCTTAATTCTTCTTACCTTGGCATGTTGATAGTCAAGAATGGAAACTTCAGCACAGATTTTCATTCTTTTGGATCCATTTAAGTGTGACACAAATACTTGTACTGCAGGTGTAGTGGAGTGTAGTTCATCATGTAGAACCAGATGGAATACTGTGCGTTTCCTATCATTCTGGATGGTGCTAAGAGTAGTAGTCAGCCCTGATGATGCCTTACTGTGTCTCAAAAACTGGGGCTAAAATCACAGGAAGAACAAAAAGGAGAATGACAAGCAAAATGGGATGGTGGAATTCAGACCTTTTTCTGTACCTTGCCCTGAAAAAATATATATTACCTACTTCCAAGTAAATAACCCAACGTTTAAAAGAAATGTTCCAGTCAAGCAAATAGTCATAGTACAGGGAGCTCTGATATTTATGGGTGGCATGATCTCACAGCTTCTATTGACCTGGCTTCTGGAGAGCCCTTGACCTGGGGCCCTCATGCCAAATTTGTTCCTTGGCTCAAATTCACCGAAAAACTGGCAGGTAGAAAGTGGGAAGGCAGTGTGATGCACATGTTGGAGTGGGACTGGAGATAGTCAGTTTCAGTTCCACAATGAGCCATGAAAACTCAGTAGGTGGCCTGAGGCCAGCCACTCTTCCTAAACCTGAGCTACCTCACAGGATTTCTGAGAGGAAAAAGCAGGCAGGCAGGAGAACCATGAGCTCACAGGAGGAAAAGAAGACATATTTTTAAAGCCACTCTGCACATTCCCACAGTGTTGTCAAATTAAACACAATGTTTTGAATGACCAAATAGTGGGAGGTTTCTAGGTCCCAACAATAAGTGTCTTCTGACCAAAGAAGCTCCCCCCCCTTCCATTTTGTATTGAGGTGCCCCTCTGCAGACCTAGTGCTATGACCTTCCATGAAAACAACTATTGCCACTTGCTGTGACATTTCTTTCCCCTCTGAGGTGTCCTGAGGATGCCTCACCAGCTATCCTCTTTTCCATGCAATTCCTCTCTCTTCCCACCCACCCCTTTTTATTTTCATTTTAAAAACCATACAAACTTGTTCATTTCTTTCAGTCTTCTGTATTTTCTTCTTTTTCCTTTTAGCCTTTCGTTCCTCTGATGAAGAGGACTCAGCATCTCCCTCCCACTGCTGGATTATTTCTGAACCTGCTCTTGATCCTGCTTGAACTTCTAGCTGTATTTTGCTTCTTGCAGCACCTACTATATATAAAAAAGACAGTCACATATGTATCAATGCAATGGTTCTTAAGGATTAAGCAGCTACCGCTGATGCTCTGGTTAGTGGTAACCACTGGTGAACACCACAGGTGTAGCTTATCCCACCAATATCCTATCTATTTGGCACATGCAAATTGCAGTAGAATCTGTCCCCCAGCCTGAAGACATTTCTTGAAAATATGTTTCATCAGTATATGTGGGCCTAGTCAACATTCACATAGCATCTACCTTCATTCATGGACTTACACTGGATTGTGCCGCTCTGCAAGCCCACAATCCCCCATTGTGTGATTCCATTGCAGAACATCAGCTATCACACATATGCTTCCTAAGAGAAAGTGCCACCCCTTGTGCCAACGTTTTGCACGTAGAAGAATGTGCAGACATGACACAGGGCCTTTTTGTGTTGTAATGACACAGTAACACCCTGGCCCTCATAATGTACTTGAGATAAACTCTCGCAACAATTTCCCTTCCAATGAAGCTTCTCGCTCAGAAGTGACACATAATTCTCTAGCAGCTTATTCTTTAAAAATAAACAGTCTGACTTCATTTATGTCCTTGGGTCCCCAAATATTTCTGGACTACGACTCCCAAAAATCCTGGCCAGCTCAGCTAATGGTGAAAGCTTCTGGGAGTTTGAGTCCGAGAACAGCCGGGGAACCAAGGTTGGGAACCACTGTAAATCTACATTATATTCAGTTCTTTCGGCAGTAGATTTTGAGAACTGACTGCCATGAATTGGTGGGGGAGATGGAAGAGGGCGGAAAAAGAGGGTGCAGTTTTATAAGCACCATAGTAGAGGAAATCAGACAAATATTCAAAATCAGGGAATGGGACATGTTGTGTAAGATGATGGCTGGAATTCTGTTGTGCAGCTCTGAGTGCACAATGGTGATGATGCCACTGGCAGTGGCAAATGGCTGCTGATTAATGGCTTCCTTTGGTCATTTCCAAACATGCACAACTTCATCGCATTGTATATAAGTTACATGCACCCACAAATCACCTTTAATCAGTACACCTATAGCAGCACAACAGGATTTCTGCCTGTGTATGGTTCATGCAATTAAGATTGGAAAACAAAGGTTTAATGTGTATTGTACCTGGTGCCAAAGTGAGCTTGATTTCACATATTTCCAAAATTTTCGGTAGATACATTTCTTTGAGGAAAACAGCCTCACAGTGTTTCAGAGTAAGAACTGTCTGATATCCTAGAGCAGGTAGTTCGAAATAAAAGGCAGGTGGCTTTAATATTTTTCCTTCCATGTAGCGAAGCTGTTCTTTACGGTTGGAAATGAACTTTTTTGATGCAAAATCATACTTCATACTTTGCTACATTGAAAAGAACAACAGCAGATAATGTTTTGGTTAAGGAGAAGAATTTTCAATGCTCAAGAAATTCTAAGATGGGCCCTTTTTTGAAATGAAACTAGTTGTACTGCAGCATAGTTTTGAAAAAAGGCCTAGGTGCAGCAGACACAGCTAACAACTGTGAAAAGGAATAAATCCATCTGATGTACCAATCATATGGACAGACAGCAGTTTTGAGTTGTTACTGAGACACAGTATTTATTTAACAGTAGCAAATAAACAACATATCTTGATTCTATTAGTTCATTCATTAATTATGCACTGTCAAGTCAATTGTGATTTATGGGTGACCTTTTCCAGGGTTTCCTAGGCAGGGAGGACGCCAGTGTCTTGAGTATTTATGGGACATCCTGGGACTGTGCAGCTTGCCTAAGGCTACACAGGCTGGCTTTTCTCCTAGGATGCCCAGTGGGGAATCAAACTCCTGAACTCTAGCTCAGCAGCTAGATTCTTAACTCATTAAGCTTTTTGTTAAAATTCTATTTCTATCTTTTTTTATTCTATAACTGGCTGAGGACATTCATTTAAAAGTCCAAGAAAAAACAATCAAATATCAGCAGAAACTGGAGCTTCTGGTTTGTGTATGTATTTACAAAGTAGTAGACAATACCTGCACAACATCATATTCTTTTGAAAATTTAAAGCTGTGATCCGGAACATCAGATTCCACTTCTGGAAAAATCTGGAAGATCTTAGCTGAATTTGGTAGATCCACACTTCTTGAAATAGCATAAAGTTTAGCCCTGGAAGAACAAGCATGACATATTTTATGTAGGTAATGAATCAAATATGCAGGTTACAATTTTCTGATGTCCCCTTATCCTGTTCTTAATGTTAATGAAGGATAGAAATAATAACAGAAACAATTTAAGATCATAAGCAGGTCTGTGATTTAGTCAGCTGTTGGTAAAAAGTTTACTGATTGATCCAGAGAACAGGCCAGGCTCTGTGATGCCACAGTGATCCTTTTTACTCTTGGATTCCCTTGTAGAGAGAGCTGTACTTTGATCTGTAGTCCATTTAGAGTTCATTGGACATGATCCTGAGGTCCTTACGCAGGCAAAAATCTCATCTACTTTATTGCCTTGGTAAGAACTGTAAGATCATGGCCACCAAATAACAGAAATTGCTGTAAAGGTATATACACTTCCAAGGGGGGAAATGCTGGAAGTATGATGGGGGGGGAGGGGGAAAAAACCCACTGCACGAAATTCTTGAAATATCTATGACATTAAGAAATGAGAGTTATGTCAGGTTAGCAAACGATGCAATTAGTAATCAGTTGCTAAAATGGTGAGCCGGCTATTGTACCTGAGATCAAATAATTCCGTCTCTGTTTCAACTGGGATAGTTTCAAATGTCAGGCTTTCCTTGTCCATGTCAATGTTGACATCGAAATTCACTGGAAGGCCAGTATGGAATTGTACATGGAGTTTAAGACCATTCTGGAAATATGGTGTGTTGATTCCCATCACTGCCACCAAATCAGTACATACACTGGGGGAAAAAAGGAGAAAGGATTAGTTTCCGTACTGGCTTGAATTATACGTACAGGACTCATCACATTTAATCTTAATGGGATAATTACTGAAACAAACATGAAATAGGTACCACCATTTTTGTCAGGACAGCGCCACTCTTCTACTGCAAGAATGAATAGATTCTGAAACCAAGAATGGTCATAACAAATGCAACACTAGAGACTTTATATCTTCCACTGACAGAAATGTATTTTTGATTTTGAAACTCCCTTCTTCCATGTTCTGGCTTCTGTGAGTAGCATCCACATATGCAAGTAAACTGTGTAGACAAATGCCTTTTTGTCTTGTGTATTCTAACAATTTTGGGGCTTTTAAAAAAGAAAGGATTAAAGGTGGCAGAATGACGGGATGTGCAGTTCCCTGATGGCCAATAGGTCAACCAGACAGACAGTCTGTTCTTAGGGAAAGCATAGGTAAATGAGCCATTGTGATTAGAAAATAGCAGGACCCCTCTGGAAAATAACCATTATGGAAACAGTATACTGTATTGTTTATTCTTCCTCCCCACCAGATGAGGATGACTCGCATTTTGGACAGCTTGTAGCACTGTTTGGTATGAACTCTTTTGTGGCAAAGAGATGATGCACTGAAAATCATGAACCTGCCTGACCCTGCTCCATACCCACAGCAATCCTTTCCAGCGTAATTGGACACAATCCTCTATCACTGCCTGATTGCACCCTTAGCTGCTCCAAAGGCGGGGGGACTGTGGGGCCCTGTTGATTTTTCTGGATCTCCCAGCAGCTTTTGATACCATTGATCGTGGTATCCTCTTGGACCAGCTCTGTGGAATGGGAATGGGAGCCACTGTATTACCGTGGTTCTATTTCTATCTCTGCAGCTAGTTCCAAGGCCTGGCGCTGGGGGACTTCTGCTCAGCCCCACAGTGATAAGCTGTGGGGTGCCGTAGTGTTCAACTCTACCTCCCATGTTATTTAATAGGAAGCTGCTGGGAGACGACATTAGGAGTTTTAGGGTTGGATGCCTTTGATATGCTGATGACACTCAGCTTTACTTCTCCCTATCATTGGGGTTAACTAGGGCTGTGCAAACCAATGTTCTGAAGCTGTCATGGGCTGGATGAGGGCCAATAAACTGAAGATGAATCCTGACAAGATAGAAGTTTTGTGGTTCTCAGATATGGGAGCTGGGTATGAGACCTGCATGCACTCACACTTCCCATGAAGAAGAAGGGTGCATCGTTTTTGGGGTCCTCCTGGATTCAACTTTGTGACTGGAGGTTCATGTGAGCTCAGCAGCTTGGAGTGCCTAAGATCACCTTTGACTGGTCCATCAGCTGTGACCATTCCTGGACAGGGACAATGCAGCCACAGTTGTTCATGCCCTAGTAGTCTTACCTAGACTACTGCAATGTACTCTACATGGGATTTGATGCTGCAGCAACTGCAATATACAGCAGCTAGACTGCTAACAGGAACATATTTAAGGACCCATATGTCACTGGCGGCCAATATTGCTGCTGGTCTGGTTACAAGGTATTGATTATGACCTCCAAAGTGCTTACTGGCTTGAGACCTGGATATTTGAAGGAGTGCCTCTCCTTGTATAAACCTGCCTGGTCTTTAAGATCTGCTGGCGAGGCCCTCCTCTGCATCCAAGCATTGAGAACTATACATTATATGGAAACACAGGGAGAGTTTTCTTGGTTGTAGCACCTCGACTGTGGAATGGTGGAATGCCTCTTCTTGGAATTTTCAGTGGCACCAGCATTGGCATCATATATTTACTGTTACAACCTCTAGGGGTTGAAGATCTTAGCCTATGCAGGTTTTAATGTAATAGCTTTAACATTTTGATTTTATGTGTTTTAGGCATTTAACTTTAAATTACTTTAAATATTTTATATTTTTAAACTGTCTTCTGTGGCTCTGAGATCTTGTGATATGGGCCAGGCTGTACATGTTTAACTAAATACATACGTACAAAATTAATATGCGCCGAAGGGCAGCTTTTTCTCCACTGGCCTGACAATGTGGCTGGGTATTACAGTTGAAGGTCAAACTTTAAACTTTAAAAGCAACATGTATTCCCTTGATCAACCCATGTTTCCTTCAGACTCAGAAAAGTATGTTTCTCACCAATACGAGTCAGGCACAGTAAATATAAGATATAAAGGTGTAGAAAAATCATGTTCTACAACAAACAGATGACTTTCACCACTTGAATGATCAACTTTGGGGGAAAATGTAATAAATGCAAAAACTAATTTGGCCTACAAACTCAGCCTTTTCCTGTCTAGACACAAAGCCAATGCTAATAAATACTCCCAAACCTAGGTACATAGTTTCTTTTTTAATTTGTTGATCACCAGGAAAGGAATCAAACCTAATTTCAAGTAGTAACCACACTTACCTGGAGGTCATCTCAGCGCTAAGATGCATGTTGTTTTCAAGCAGGTGGTCAAGCTTGAAGTCACCAGTCATTGGGGTAGATATCTGCCCATTAACTACAGAAAATGAGAAGCAGTTCAATGCCAGAACCAAAAAGAAGCAAATAAAGTTCAGAAAGACTTTTAGCATTAAGTGAACTGGTAAGATATTTTCTTTTTCACAAAGCTATAAAGAGTTTACTAAACACTAAAAAAGATTATGTGATATGGATTTGATCAAAACAAGGATAGAAGGGTATGATAAATATCATGAAAATTGTTAATACTTTTAAAAGAAGAGTTGTTTAACATAAGATTATTCATTAAATAAGGTCCGTTGTGTTATCTTTGTTACTGCCTTACCATCAGAAAATAAATAATTGTGTAATAGCTCATAATGAAACACCAGAATAGCTTCAGCTAACTTTGAAATGACAGAAAGTCCCTAGATAAATAAATAATAAAAATTTACTATTTTGTACTGATAGATAAATTGACCAGCTGTGACATCATTCTTGGCTGGATCTTCCATAGCATTTGTAATGTCTGGATGAAGAAAATGTAATGGGAAGTAATCATATCCAACTGGATCATCTGGGAGATTCCTAATACTGGCATGGCTATTTTCTCACAGGATCTGCTATTTCTTTCTTTTTTTAAAATAATTTTATTTAACAACTAAACAATGAATCAAAAGGAAAAAAAAACAACATATACAACTCTATGTGCACATTGGGACCGCTGGAGATACCCAATTTCCTTCCTCTTACAGAGCCCCATTCCTTTTCCAGAATTACATTGACTCCTGCAGAGCTACATAACCCTTCCTCTTTGTTAACACAAATTCAATAAATTCCCCCCCCCCATTATCTCTAAACATGTTCTTATTTGTCATTCCTTTTCTTACTTTAATATTACATGTTAATTTATCATTACTTATCATCATTAATATTCCACAGTTCTTTATACCATTCATTTAACTGGAGACCGCACTTAACTTTCTAGTTCTTTGCTGTTATAATTCAGCCACTGCTACTAAATTTGTGATCAATTATTTCATTGTACAATTCCATTGCTCACTGTCAAAGATCAATAGAAGTGCTATTTTAGGATATATTCTTGGATTTAATTTTAATATTTCACCTTTTTAAAAAAGAGGCTCTGCTATTCCATGTGTTTATTACAAGTGTGATGTGCGATCCAGATACAGTGCGTCAGTAGCCAAACTGCTCTGTTGAGTTTTTACCTGACTTTCACAAGCACTTCATATTTAAGCAGTAAAAACTCCAAGATACAAATTTTGTACTGCAAAGACACTCCTTGGGAATTAGTAATTACAATTCATTGACTGCTCAGTGCAAAGCATCTAGCATGGAATGGTAGAAAACTGGGGCTATAGCAAAATATCAGACAGTTTGCAGTGGGAGAAGTGGAAAATGAGAGGTGAAAGGATGATGAACCCATTCTCCACCAGCCATTCCACTCCAGTCCAACATCTTTCCCCTAGTCATTTTCTCTGCAGTAGACTCATGTCAAGACTTAGAGCACCTAAATTTCAATAATAAATCTTTGAAACACATCTTAAAGATGGCTTCTGTAGGTTGATACTCACGTTTGGCTGCTGCATGTACCACACCACTGCTATATAATCCAAATTCCAATGGGAAGCCCACACAGATTGGTACGATCTGTCGAAGCTCTCCTATCATTATGGGCTGAGTCCATGTGCCCATTAGTCCTTTTCGGATGAGAGTAATCAGGAGCTCTGCTGATCTGTTCAAAAGCTATAGAAAAAGAAAAATGCAAGCCTATTAAAAGAAATTGTGAAAGGATACTATTTCCATACATGTTCAAATTCACAGAAGCAGACATACCTTCTCAACCATCCGGATGAATTCTCCATCAAGACTACCAAAGACAATTTCATGGCTAAATAATTTTAGATAGCCTGATACCATGGGCTTTTCTGAAGGCTGTTCCTTCCATTGCTGAAGCTAGGAAGGCAAGAGGAAATCACCAGAGATGTTAGTTTTTATTTAATTTCAGTTTACCTTAAATTATTGCTTGACTCCTATAATAAAGTGAAACACAGGGCTTCCAATTCCTTTATAATAATAATTACATGATGTCAGGTTGATTCAGATTTACGGCAACCATTTTGAAGGTTCTCCTGGTATAGAGTTCTCACAAGTGGTTTACCATTCACTTCTTCTAGGGGTGCCCTGGGACTGTGCAGCTTGACCAAGGCTACAAAGGATGGCTCTTCTCCCGGGAAACAAATAAGGAATCAGATTTCCAATCCCAGTTCAGTAATCAGGCGCTCCAATTCTCTGAGTTCTCTAGCCATTATTTTAACATACACTAAAGTATCAAGCACATTTAGCAGAAGATTCTAATAAAATACATAATGATTTGAATTATATTTATTTTTAACAATTGAGTTCTGTGACTGCAGAATTTGAAAGCATTTCCACTGACAATCAGAAACAGGCTTATGCTTGCAAAATGCAAGTGATTTGACACACAGGGGTGTCTTACAGATGTTAACGTGGCAAGGTATGTGAGCTGCCATAATTCTAAGACATTATTATAATTCAAGGGTAAATTCACATACCAATTTCGCAAGCTCCTTTAATTTTTTGTATGTCAAGTCCTGGAAAAACTGAAGATCTTGTCTTTTAAGGAAATCAGTCAAACCTTCTAGATAGAGTCCAACCTATATATATAGAGAGAGAGAGATATTCAAAGCAGGGAAAAAAGATTGCAAGAACAGGAAAAAACATTATTTAGTATAATTTTAGGCAGAAAAGACCTTGAAATAACAGAATAGAAGAGGAGCAAATCCACCAAAACATATACCCCCTGCACTCTTCAATAAATCAGAGTTTGGTAACGTTAATCTTTGAACTACAAGTCCCATAATCCCCAGACAGTTTGAGTACTGGACATTTTAGCTGGGGGATTCTAGGAATTATCATCCAAAAAAATAACTTTTCCTTGCTCTGGCTTTCCTGCACTAAAGCTTTTCTTTAACTCACTGTGCATGTGATTTCTGATATAGACTGGAATCTTATTCGTGGTTGTACAATGTTTGCATACCTTGCCACAGCTATCTGTGCCTAACTGACAAGGTCTTGAGGTGAAATCGGTTGTATGACTAGGCTTGCAACCAAAACATGCCCTGCCACTTCATCAGTTAGCTACAATTAGCCATGGCAAGTTTCACAAACCTCACACAAATGCCCATCAGATTCTGGCCAAAGACTGACAAGATTCTAATGGATTTAAGAGGGAGTTCAAATGGTAGAAGGCCCTTTGGCAGCTTGCTATCCCCAGAAACAGTGAAGGTGGTACTTTTCTTTAACTACTCCCCATATAGTATTTTTCTAGTTAGATCAACTGACCACTTTTATCCCTGGGAAGGATGGAAAAGTACTGGGCAATGGAAGCAAAGAGTCTGGGCATAGTGACAACAGTATGGCCTTGAAGGGCCCAGGTAATACTTTCTCACTATTAAGAAACTGGAAAGGATAAGATTTTGATCTCTCATTTTCAGCTGATGAGAATGACTTTGTTGGGTGGATTCAGCATGAATGTTAGCATAGGATTTAACTGTGCTGCCTGTTCAACCATGTGTTCATTGGTGGCCCTTTCACTTGGTTTCATCATAAGGAGAAATAAGGCTTGGCTGGAACAAATACTGTGGGGCTCCTCATCTTCTGAAATTGTCCCAAGTCCCAGCTGGAGTGGCTCCCTTATCAGTGTACTCTTTACTCACAAGTAAATCCCATTGAATTCATTGGGAGTTACTCCCAGACTGTTGCCTTACTTTTCATTATTTTCCTATCTTTTTCTTCTTTTTTCTGCCATCTTTCTAAGCCCAAACTGATGTGGCTATTATTATTATTATTATTATTATTATTATTATTATTATTATTATTATTATTATTATTATTATTATTATTATTATTATTA